CAATCCGAATCCAGGTATGTTACTGTTCTCTCCTTCTTCTCTCTTCTTTTCTCTCTCTTCGGCAGATTCTTCTCTCTTCTTCTTCAGATTCTTCTCTCTTTTTTTCTCTCTTCTTCTTCTTCTCTCTTTTTTCTTCTCTCTTTTTTTCTCTCTTCTTCGGCAGATTCTTCTTCTTCTTCTGCAGATTCTTCTTCTTCTTCTCTCTTTTTTTCTCTTCTCTTTTTTTCTTCTCTCTTTTTTTCTCTCTTCTTCGGCAGATTCTTCTCTCTTCTTCAGCAGATTCTTCTTCTTCTTCTTCTTTATAGCAAACTTTCTCTGTGCACAGTTTTTTTTATTTATTTATTTTTTTTTTATATTTTTTTTATATGAAATATGTGTCTTCTTTTCTTTTCTCTTTTGAACTGAACTGTAAGTTTGGAACTGGACTGCAGCTCTGTGTCTTCTTTTCCCTCTTTTTTTTTTTTTTTTTAATGAATTGAACTGGAAGTTTGGAACTGGACTGCAACTCTGTGTCTTCTTTTCTTTTTTTATGAACTGAACTGGAAGTTTGGAACTGGACTTCAGCTCTTTATTTTTTTTTTTAATTGAAATGTTAATATTGCTTTGAAATTGAAATCTGGTTTTGCTAATTGAAATCTGGTTTATTTTGTTACAACACCAATAATTGACATGAATTTATTTTGTTATCTTGAATTTGAATGTAGTTTGTACTTTAAAAGATGCCTAGTATTTTATTGTCTATGTTTGTTTTAGTTTTATCTCATTATTCTCATTAGTTGACTTTTGCATCTTTATATTATTATGTTTAATTATTTACTGTTGAACTCAAGTATTTGATTTAGTTGGCTTTGGCATCTTTATGTTGAATATTCAACTTAAGTAATTGATTTAGTTGACTTTTGCATCTTTATATATAGGTTTTTTTTTTTTTTTTTTTTCAACGTGCGCCTTGCTTCAGTTAGGCGTGCGCCTCGCCTTGCGCCTCAGGCTCCAGGAGGCCTTTGCGCTTTTGTGCGCCTTAAGCCTTTAACAACTATGCCTTCTTTGAGGACACTCCTTATTTTTCTTCACCTGGTTCGTCCTTAGATACTGAGTTGTTGCTTCCGTTGCCTGTTCTGTCACCCTCATCTGCTGATGTTCCACCACCTCAAGTTCCATTGCCACCTCAAGTGCCACCGCCACTTCAAGTGTATACTCGACGATCAAAGGTAGCACCCCCCCAATTGTCTACTTCTATTGAGGCTCCTGTTGCTACTGATGATCTTCCTATTGCCTTACGCAAAGGTATTCGATCTTGTGTTACCGCACATCCTATTTCTAACTTTGTCTCATATAATCATGTTTCACCCACTTTCTTTTGTTTTTTATCCACACTGTCTGCTACACTTGTTCCCAAGACTTTGCAGGATGCTCTTTCTCATCCTGGTTGGCGACAAGCCATGATCGATGAAATGGATGCTCTTCATTATAATGGGACATGGGATCTTGTTCCCTTACCTCATGGTGCCAAACCAGTTGGTTGTAAGTGGGTCTACACTGTCAAATATCTCCATGATGGTTCTATTGAGCGTTTGAAAGCTCGTCTTGTTGCAAAGGGGTACACCCAAACTTATGGTGTTGATTATGATGAAACTTTTTCCCCTGTTGCAAAGATCTCTTCTATATGGGTCCTTATTTCCATTGCTGCCAATCGTAACTGGCAGTTGTTTCAATTAGATGTGAAAAATGCTTTCTTGCATGGCGACTTAGTTGAAGAGGTTTATATGGAGCAACCACCTGGGTTTGTTGCTCAGGGGGAATATCGTCATACCGTTTGTCGCCTTCGGAAAGCCTTGTATGGATTGAAGCAATCTCCAAGGGCTTGGTTTGGAAAGTTCTCTGCGGCAGCATTAGCATTTGGTCTTAAGAGATGTCAAACAGACCATTCAGTGTTTCACCAACACACTAAAGCTGGTTTCATTTTCCTTGTGGTATATGTGGATGACATTGTGATCACAGGTGATGATTCTGAAGGTATTGTTAAATTGAAGTTGTTTCTACAAAATCAGTTTCACACTAAAGACCTGGGTCAACTCAGATATTTCTTGGGTATTGAAGTTGCTAGATCCAAGGAAGGTATAAGTTTATCTCAAAGGAAATATGTGTTGGATTTATTAGAAGAAACAGGTATGTTGGGTGGTCGTCCTATTGATACTCCTATGGATCCAAATACAAAACTCTTGTCAGATAAGGGTGATCTATTTGATGATCCTGGCAGATATCGACGGCTTGTCGGGAAATTAATTTATCTCAATATCACTCGACCGGATATCTCATATGCAATTAGTGTTGTAAGTCAATTCATGGGATCTCCTAGGATGTCACATTGGAATGCAGTTCTTCGGATTATCAGATACCTCAAGCAAGCTCCTGGCTTTGGGTTGCTATATAAACCAAATGGACATCTTAGGGTAGAAGGTTTCACTGATGCTGACTGGGCTGGTTCTCCCTCAAATAGGAAATCTACTACGGGCTACTGCACATTTGTTGGTGGAAATCTTGTTACATGGAAAAGTAAAAAGCAAACAGTGGTAGCACGGTCTAGCGCTGAAGCAGAGTACAGGGCGATGGCTCATACCTCTAGTGAGTTAATGTGGATACAACACTTTCTTAAGGAACTTGAGTTAATAGTCAAGACTCCTATTCCATTGTTCTGTGATAACCAAACAGCTGTTCATATTGCATCCAATCCAGTATTTCATGAAAGAACCAAGCATATTGAAGTTGACTGTCACTTCACCCGTAAAAAAATATTGAGCGGGAACATCTCTACACCATTTGTGAAGTCTGAAGATCAATTAGCTGATATATTTACTAAGGCTCTTAGTCATCATCTGTTAAAAGCAATTTGTTCCAAGCTGGGATTATATGATATATATTCTCCAGCTTGAGGGGAAGTGTTAGAATAGTTATATGTAAATAGGTATTTATGTTGGGATCATATTGTAATTAGACATAGGATTTGTGGCCATTATGTAAATAGGCCTTTCTTTTATTGTATATATATATGTTGTACTATGTGTAAGGGTTTAATATATGAAAAATGAGAAAAACAGTGAGGGATGCGCCTCTTTCATCCTCTCTCTCTCTCTCTAATCTATAAAATTGACATAAAAAAATAAAACTAAAAGGGGAGACGTAAAAATAAGATTATATCACTTAGGAACCCAATTTGGACATGTACAATTCAACTCAACAAAGCCTTCACCCAATTATATGGGCTCGGGTATATATATGTATGTCTTATTTCACCATTTCGCTCCAAGGCCATGGCCTCAGTTAAACCATATGCTCATACTGGGCAGGTGTAAGAAAAGATAGTGTCAAGGACATTGAGATACCCCACCATAGTAGGAAGAAGCTTACCATTATTGTAAGCTCACCACCACATTTCTAGGGATTTTGCTAGCAACTAAGAAGGAAAGCCCTACAAAGATTTCACGTTAAAGCACAAAGATGAGCAGTGCATATTTCATTTGATTGTTGAGATTGAGTGCGTAAGACTAGGTCAGCAATCTATCATACCTCCTACAGGTACTAACTCAAGGATAAAGGCTGTAGAAATTTTGAGGAAGCAAAGGCAACTGGTGCAGAAATTAAAAGGGTGAAATTATCGTGAATGGTTACTCCAAAGGCAAGTCTTGTCCTAACTGAAAAAAATATATATGTCCAGTGTGGTGAACTTCTTTTTACTCGTGAATCTTTTGATTAGCTTCAACTTTTAGATACCAAAATGGAACTTCTCAATGTAATTTGCCCCGCGGTTGGGATGATCTCTGCTGTTTTCTGTAGAAAGTCAAAGATTTGGTAGACAATTGAGATGGAGCTACCATTGGTATATAGCGGTCTCTATGAAAAAATCTAATGAGAAATTTAGAGTGGCATTGACATGGAAATAAGTAATGCTGTACTTTTGCTCTTTCTATAAGGCATAGCCAAGAAGTAGGGGTCACTTTCCCATAATCATAAAGCGCCAATTCAAACTAATGTAGCCTACCTCAAGACAAACACAACTTGAGAAAAGGTCTTAATAATGAGCTTTTAAAGTCTGGGAACTAGGAATGAGTGAGGTACTTGTCAGTAAATCATATGCTTAGTTTCTTGTTGATCATAAGTTCTTGTCCATAATTTGGCATAGAGTAAGTAGTACTTCGATTTCTCAGGCTTGGGGCAACAGAGACCATATTGTTTGGATTGCTATATTAAAGTTACTAAACTGAAGAACTTTTACAATAGAAAGCCCTGTTGAAACTAAAATCACCGGTGACCTAATTTCAACTTCTAAACCATTCCATCTCTAATATCACAAAGCATAGGGTTCTGCAACTGCCCATCCATTTTGGGCTCACCATGGTTTTGACTTTGTATTCTTAACAACTACTTTTACATTTCAAGGCCGATTATTGTTTAATTATATATTTCTTTTACTATTTGGTAATTAAGTGAAAGATTGGCTTGACTGGTGTCCAAGTTAATGTCTGGTTAGTCACAAGTTTAGTTATTGTAATTTTTTGTTGGAATTAGTTGAGTAGTTTTTCTTTTTTTTGATAAGTAATAATTGAAATAAAAATGCGTTCAAGAGGGGAACGCATCCCTTATTCAAAAGTGGAACCAGGGATTAAGGCCCCAAAGAAGCCAAAAAAATAATTAAATCTTGGGGAGAGGAACAGGACTTCCTCTTCACATAACTGAAAAGAGAGCGTATGATGTGAAGTTTCAAAATCGCCGTGGACGATTCTTTCCCTTCAAACATTCTACTATTCCTCTCCTTCCAAATACACCACCAGACACAATGTGGTACAACTCTCCAATAATCGCAAACAACACTACTCACACGGCATCCTCTCCAAATACGAATCAAATCCTTAGAATAACGAGGCATAACCCAACGCATACCAAACAGACAAAAGATAAGATTCCAACAATCCGACAATGCATGAGAATATGAGCAACTGACTCACCATCTTGTTTGCAAAGTCAACACCAGTTAACAAAACAGTTGCCCCTTTTCCTTAGATTATCAATCGTCGGGATCTTACCCCATTTAGCGGTCCAAACAAAGAATGCCACCGTAGTTGGAGCCATAGAACGCTAGATAGTCTTCCATGGAAAATCAACGATATCAAAATCAGAAAGACATAAGAATAAGGATCAAACTTTGAAGCAATCATAGGAAGAGGGAATCCATGTCATGTCATCACAACCTCTACCAACTGCCTCCTGTCGATACAACAAATCCAGAAAAACACATACCTCGCCCACCTCCCAATCCTGAAAAGAGCGTCGAAAGTGCACGTCCCACGTAATCCCACTACTATCAAGCCGATAACAGTTGGCTACGTAGGCATGTCTATCAACTGCAATACTATATAATCTGGGAAATAAACAAGATAAAGGCCGGTCACCACACCAAAGATCCTCCCAAAAATTAACTTTTCAATTAGTTGAGTAGTTTTATTATTACTATTTTGTCTAGAGTTTCATAAAAAGCTAAAGCAAATCCAACCATGTTCTGCCTTCTCCCGTTCAGGTCCGATTGCCTGGTACATCTTTTCAGAAAATGGTCTATCTACCAAGCCTCCTCACCAGACAACTATTCTTGGGATAATATCTCAACCTCTACTCTGTCATCCAACTAATATGTAACATATAGCCTCCTCTCCGAGTGAGGAGAGAGAGGGAGGGAGAGTGTGAAAAGAAGCAAAAAAACAACTTCAAGGTTGTTAAAGTAATTTGCAAATCCGTACACTTTTTACCTTAATTGTCATCATATATTGGTTATATCAGTGTTTATCAGAACATGAATCATTGTGGTCTATAGAACTGGAACGGTGTAACCTGAACATGGGACCCAATCCACATAATCCAATGTGTCTAAGGCAAGTTTATGTTTATATAAATGACATGGTTGGAATGTGTTAGGTAGTTCAAATAATGAGAATGGTACTCTTCCAATCAGGATGTAAATAAGGAAAACTAAAATTAGAATGCACGATGGCAAATGATTTATAAAGATTTGTCACATTTCCTTTTATGCTTCTACTAAAAGGAGAACTGAGGGAGCAAATAACTTTTTTGGAGAAAAAATTTCAGTATTCATAACAACGTCTTTTAAAACAAGCATTCCATTATATAAATGATTGGGGTATCTATGTTCTTCATTATCTGTGGTCAAATGTTGTTAGGATCGGGATTTTACGTAGGATTGATGAGGGGTCCATAAGATCAAAATCGTAGGATCAGATCAAAAATTGTAAGATTCTCTAAAACTAATAGAAATGTAACTCAAACTAACTTTCTAATTCAAATATTTTTGATATAAATAGAAAATAAGGTTAAATAACCAAATGAGACACTCTAACAAAATCAAGTAACATTAAAAGATACTAAGACACGTGATAAACACTTAAAATCAATTTCTTGATTTCATAAAAAATTCAGCATAGAATTTAAAATAAAATCTCAGAGAATAAATTAAAGTAAAGCGTAAACAAATAGAAAAAAAAAAAAGAACAGCGAAGTAGAGAGAGATATCTACAATTTAGTTGCCTAGTTGTCTAAGCAATTTAGGTTTTTTTTTTTTTTTTTTTTTTTGGCACCTGAGCAATTTCGTTGAAAAGTTAATTTTTGGTTAAAAAGAGGAATAAAATAGAGATAGAAAGAACAACAGAAAGGAAAAAAAAAATGAAGTCTTTTTGTTTTGTTTCATAATTGACAAAGAATATGTGGAAAAATATAATTTTTTCTATTCATTGTACTGAAAAAGGAAGAAGAAAAGAGAAACTAAGAAGAATAAAACTAAATAGAGGAAATTTTTGAAGTTTTGAATCATACCTTTGAAATTCAGAGTTTGATCATCTCTACATTTGACATTCGGTTCTTTGGTTTTTGTTTTAAATTTTTAGTTTTTAATGTAATAGGCTAAAGATTTGGACTTTATATTTAAAATGATTAAATTTATTAGTCCAAAATTAATTGTAGGCCCAAATAAATCCGGAAGAAGATAAAAATAACACTACTTAGTAGAATCGGAAGGATTGTGCGATCCTATGCGATTCTACAATTCTACTTCTGATTCTACTGAGATTCTACTTCTAAGTGATTTTGGATGGGATCGGGATTGGTTTGGTAATTTGGGATCGTAGAATCGTCCAGAATTGGGATTTTAACAACAATGAGATACATATTAGTTTATAAGACCTTGATACATTATTCTAAAATTTTATAGTGGCTTAATCGTTATATCTCATTACATTTATAATTTTATATGTAATGAGACAAGAACATCTAAAAGAAGCTATAAGTTTATGATTCCATTCTCTTCATTCTTTTTGTGACATAAAATACATTGCCAATATACAATGAGTGACAGATCTAAGGAAAATAATGGGATGCATGCTATTATATGATGGACAATTCTCTCTGTTGAAAACTGGGGGGTGGAACAATTGCAAACATAACCATGTTAATCCATCTTTGACATGTTTTGGATGATTAAAAGAGGTTTTTTTTTTTTTTTGATAAGTGATTAAAAGAGCTTATTTTTACTAATTTAAATATTCTATGGAAGTATATCTGCATTATAATTTTTTGACAAGAAATTTAACAAATACTTATTATCGTCATCACTGTCTTACCATTCATGGCTCATCCACATGGAAATACACCCTATGACATAGGTAAATGAATGTGATTTATATAGTAAATTCACAAAGATATATATAGATTTTAGGGAGTTGCCATGTTTGATAGGGTCCATGTCAAAACATGACAGCTGCGTCCTTGTCCTCAAATCATAGAACAAGTATCATGCATGTCATATACATACACCATTTACCATGTGCGATCAACTGAACGGCTACACATCTACGCAAATTACTAGACAATTCACAATGCCATTATTTTTTCACCAATCTATCTTCAATAACGTCACCAAGTTATTCACGTGAATACACGAGAGTTTGGAATACGCAAGGGTTTTAGGTGATCACCTACACATGGAGGCTACTGTTAATGTAACTGACTATGCCGTCGTTTTTTTACGGTAGACATTTTGAATGCTCATTTTCCATGCATGGCACCAAGTGTCATAGCCACAACATAAGACTTGCCCATCGTACGCGAGGGTTTTAGGCGGTCACCTACACATGGAGGCTACTGCTAATGTAACTGACTATGTCGTCGTTTTTTTACGGTAGGCGTTTTGAACGCTCATCTTCCATGCATGGCACCAAGTGTCATAGCCACAACATAAGACTTGCTCATCGTACGCGAGGGTTTTAGGCGGTCACCTACACGTGGAGGCTAATTTTAATGCAACCGACTACGCCCTCGTTTTTTACGGTAAACGTTTTGAATGCTCATCTTCCATGCATGGCACCAAGTGTCATAGCCACAACATAAGACTTCCACATTTGTCCATAGGTCGTCATATACATGTCATATATGCTTCAGGTTATCCACACATTGGGGCATTAACCAAATATGAATCCATGCAAAGAAAACAAGACAAAAGTTATTGTTTAATTAGATCTAACCCCCATAAACTAAGTTCAGCAAAAGTTCACTTTAACATCAAACCAAATGCCCAACACAACAGATTTGCTTAAAACTCTAAATTATCTTTTGACTTAAGAAATAATTAACCTAGGGATAGAATAAGAAATATTTAACCTCAAAAAAAAAAGGGAAGACAAAAAAACCCTAAGAAATAAAAACAGCAAGCTCAAGGCTTTTCTAAATTTAATGGCACACTCAAATTCCAGCCCAAAAAACAAACCTAACTATCTTGACCAACCACATACAAATCCCGAAGAGAATTTCAAATCTGCAAAGGAAGGTCTGAACTCAGAATGACAAACATACAAAATTCACAACAATAAATCAACAGAAACACATAATAGATAAAGATTTACATTTTGATGGAAGAAACAAACCTGGTTGAACAGGCCCTCTGGGTCTTCAACAATCAGTCAGCTTCTGATTACAACCCTCCTCTTGAGAACAGTTACACAAAAAAGATGAATGAACAAATTAAAAAATTTCCTCAAACTAGAATCCTATCTGCAAAGTTCACGCAAACCAGATAAGTTAAATTTAGCCCATTAGAATCTAAAATCAATAAAGTTCCAAAACAAAACAAAAAAAAATCTTCAAATTTAGTTCAAACCCTTCGACAGAACCCAAAAACAAAGGGTTATCATAAATAATCACAAAATCGTACAAAATTAAGAAAACCCATCAAAGGATTTTCAAAGAGAGATAAAAAGAGAACCCAACATGTAAGCTTTCAACTCATAAAGAGAAACAAGCAAAAAATCATCAGAAAGAAAAAGAAAAAGAAAATTAAAAAATTAAAGAACTTTAAGGAAGAAGCAAACCAATAAGCACTGTACTGTACCTAGTGAAATCCGCCAATAGATTCTACTTGAAATTTTTTGTTTGTATATATATATATATATATATGTTGGAGATGTGAATATAAAATGTAGCTGAAAAACTACTTCTCCAAAACCTTTCCCTATATATTACGAGAATTATAAAGGATATCCCAAAGGGCATATTTGTCAGTGGAAGGAGAGAAGTCAACGAGCCCAGAAAATTTTGCTTACTCAACTAGTTTTAGTCCAGCCCAAATTCGTTGCAAAGAAGCCCAGCGTCACGAGTGATTTGCCCAAATTCAGTAGTGCTGCTGGGCCAGTATATGTCTAAATTATCATATTATCATGACCTAAGTCGTATGAAATCTTAGAAACCAAGTGAGAAGCGAAAGTGTGAAAGTGACAAAATCTGAACACGCATAGTAGGAGTGAGAATGTGAGAGATTTAAAAGAATTGTATTACTTAGAATTCATGAATTCAAGTTTACTCTCTAAATACATAGTAATTTCAAGCATCTCCCTTTGATTTTTTTATTTTTGGTCCCATAAGCATCTCCCAGAAGCCTTTTTTTCTTAATTATTTGGGGTCCCTTTTATTAATCATATGTTTACATTTCGTTTTATTTAAAGTCATAGTCTAAGTCAATGTCAGACGTTGGACTGGGCAATTTGGCCCAAGAACAATTGACCCAAAAGATACAAAAGAAAGGAGTTCATTGAAACAACCCAGGACATAACAGTGAATTTTTTAAGGAGTTCATTTTTCTCCTTAATTGATTATTACATTGAAAATTAACTTATAAACACATAATTGATTATTACAATGAAAATTAATTAACTTACGAGTGCCCATGATTTTATGTAAATCTAAGCCAACCACCCTTTCAGTAAATAACACTTTCTAATATTTTATTTAGGTGAAGAACTGGTGTTAATAAATTTAACACTAGTGAATTTTTTAACGAAATTTGTAGTGTTTATAATAAATTTTCCGATATAGGACATAATCGAATCATATGCAATCAGTTGAGGAATGAGTCGAAAGACACAGTCAACAACCACCTAATGAATGATAATTATTGTTTAAGGGAATAAAATTAAACAATCATAAGTGATCATGTGAACTTATGCTTTTAAGTTCTGTCCCAGCTACAAATTCAGACAAATACTTAATTATTCTATCCAAAATTCATATTACTTTATGCTTGTGTTTTCGACTATATGTGGATTGGAATAGAACTTTAAAATATATATATATATATATATATATATATATATATATATATATATATTTAAAATTTGAATAATATTATTCACAATTCTGATGCATTTCATGCAACTGAAAGCATCATCTGTACCATTTTTTTTTTTTTTTCTTGATGGAAAAGTTATTTATAGTATACAAAAATTATGAGATATAACATTTAAAATGAGCTGCCTATCATGAATAAAGTATACGTGTTTTGATTCCCACAGGACCAGGTGACATACTGTTGCCCTATAACATGTTTGTTTTGTGATGGTGAGTCGATAACCATATGCTTGATGATAGTATATTAGGTTTAATTACACTTTAACTCTAGTGATCCTATTTTGTGGCACTTAATTTCCTTAATTGTGCTTTTAGTAGATAACTTCTCTGAACCTCCCCCCCCCCCCCCCCGCACACACACACACACACACATTCTCCCTTCTTGTTAATTGTCCGTTAAATAAAAATTGAAATGACTTTATTATCCATTTGAATATATTTTTATTAATGTCACATTTCTCTAAATAAAAAAAAAAAAAAAATTGGATAATAAAGTCATTTTACCTTCATATTTAACAGACAATTAACTAGAGTAAGATGCAATTTTTTTTTATAGTTCAAGGAGGTCACTTTTCAAAAAAATAATTTAGAAATTATGTGTTGTAAAGAGAAGTTAATGTTTGAAGTTTGAAAGTCAGATTAAAGTCGGACAAATCTGACTAATTTATGTGAGTGGGAGTTGACGTCATCATGATAGTATTAATATTCTGATGTCACGATAATATCAATCTCTATTTATATAAAATTAATCCAATTTGTTTAGCTATTGTCAGTTGAGCTTTTTCTATCTAATGAAATTAATAAGATGCTTCCTGTTATTCTTGAATGTGTAAACCTATCTCGTTGATCACTAATCTCTAATATTCTTGACATGAAAAAAAAAAAGAAAAAAAAAGGCAGCTTATATTTGAGTGCTTATCTCTACTGTGTGAACATGAATACAATTACTATTTTGCCCCATAACCAAACTTTGATTATTCTTTTGGTAACAAATATAAAAGTAAATAAATAAATAACACGGATTATGCTCTTGTCTCAGTATTTATTAATAATGTATACACATATAGATATATTTTAATTGTAATCCTAGGAAGACAAAATTGGGTCGGCAAAACACTGTCCTCCCCATCGCCCATCACGTGGCGGTGGCACGGATGCTCCCAATTGTACGGTGTTACAAACCTCCCTTCACGTGCATCCCATGTGACTGACCCCTCACTCTCTCTGTCTTGTTATTGTGTGTCATGTGGGCGGCTCTAAATTCAACTGAACTCCAGGGCCTTTATGTGGTGATTCTCAAAAAGTTAAGGGCATTATTATTTAAAATTTAAATTTAAACCGAGCAAGTTAATAAAGGAATTTTTATCCTAATGTTTGATAATTCAATTTAATGTTTAATTCTGAATAGATTCAGCACTTATTTAATTAAGTGCATTCGATGACGTAATTTGAATATAATTGAAAATAGTAAACATTACTTAAATTGGAATAAAATTTTAAATGACCGAAACATCACTTATCACTGAATGTTTAATGATGAAAATTAAATAAAATATCAAAATTCAACTCTTAAAAATTTTTATTTTATCAAATAACACATAAATCTTATCCAATGCATTCAGGATGCGTAACTTTCTCAATTAAAATTCTTAGTGATCTCAAGTTTGAGAATCACTTTTCCAAAAGAAAAAATAATTTTGAAGTTTCAATAAATAAAGGTTGTGAAGTGAAGGCAATTGTATTTGAACCAAATCAGATTAAATGATGCCTCAACGAGGAGGAGAGTGGAACTATATAGCTTCATTATTACAAGGTTTAAGGGCATATTGAGTACAATATTAAAGGTTGTTTCTCCATCCTTTTCCGACCCTTGGTTTAATCTCTCGCACACTTAATTCTATACACCTTGAGAGCACGCGAGAAAGGAAAATACTAATTAAGCCTAAAAAGTTAGTCAAGGACTCAAAAACGCTTAATTTATTCAAGTGGAAAAGGGCTTACAAGGCTAGCCTCTTCGGTCAACCATTTCGGTGCGAGTTAACATTATCACGTGATAAATGGTAAAAACACTAATATATGCAATTTTTTATTTTAGAGGGACTGAATCCTATTTTGAGTGTTCAAATATCCAAGTGTTATGATCGACCTTATTTAATATTAATTAAAAAGTAAACATGAAAAACGACAGAAACAAAATTTTGAAATCGAAAATAATCACTTCATAGAGGTAAAGTTTGACACATACATCTTTTAATCAAAGACTGAGGATTTGCATGGCTAATAATCATATTGTTATGATCGATGTTATTTAGTATTAAATTATTATTATTTTTTTTTAGTGGATACTCACATATGTATTTTTTTTGAGGTTTGAAATCTTAACCTCCCTTTGAAAAGTAGAAGGCTGATTCCGTTAGGCCACTGACCCGTTAATTTATTTAGTATTAATTAGGAAGTAAACATGAAAAACGAGAGTAATAAGTTTTTGAAATCTACTTCAGATATGGCTTAGCGATTTGCTTGTTAGACTTTGATGTTTAGCAAGTTCAATGTCTACGATTCGAATCCTGCAGGGTGTTTTTTGTTGATAACCTCCACTATCCCTATAATGATTTATCCCGTCTAGATGGAAAGACGTCTTTTTGAATCTTCGAAAATTAATCGAATTATTGAGAGATCCTAATAATTTGTGCCTTCTTGAATATTTCGGATTAAAAAAAATAATAATTAAAATAAAAAATAATCACTTCGTGCAAAATAAAGTTGGGTACATACAGCCTTCTGCATGGCTAAAAAATAATGGGTGTTTACGTCATTTCATATTAGGAATCTAATTTGAAACTTGCAAGAGCCTCCACAATTATTATTAGAGGAGAAATAAGGGGCCGACTAACAAAATGAAGCAACAGCCATGTTCGATTTGTACGGACATGGGCCCATCTTCAGGTGGAGGGTTGATGTAGAGAATCTAACGCCAAATAATTCCCCACCTTTTCTCTTTTTCAGACGTAAACGGTTTTCAGGTTCTCTCTGTCACACTCATTCTTCTATCATACTACTCCTATATTAATAAAATATATATAAAATAAAGTTTATAATAGTTAATTTAGAGTTAGCTTTTTGGTTCTGGTATGGCAAAGTGAAAACCAATTTTGGTGTCCGTAGGGCCATTCTATTATCAAATCAAAATCATCTTTTCTTTACGATGCGTCACAGTTCAGGGCACGTGCTAACCACGAGCTCTTACATCATATTCATAACAAGGATTTTAAGTTCTAACTCTAAAATGCTTTAGAGTAAAGGATTTTTTTTTTTTTTTTTCTCTCCCTCTTTTATTATTATTTTTTTAAAATATCGTTACAGAAAATACAAGACTGCATGTTAATCCACGATGTTTGGATGAAATCCAATATCATTGACCGAATATTTAGAATCAATTTTAACATCACAACAAGTAGTTATCTATGTTTCCGAATTGACATGTTAAATTTAAAATTGAAAAAAATTTAATTAATTTAAAATTAACATCGATGGTGTTGTAAATCAAACTTAAAATTAAAATTAAGTTCCATTTGATTTTAAGATTTTATTTTGATTTTCACTTTAAAAGCATCTCCTAGAAAGGATGTGTTGGTCTTTTTATCTTTTATTTTTTCGGTTATTAATATCATGCACTAAGATAATAGAGAGAAAATATTTTTTATTAGTAAATAAAAATTTATGAAAAAAAGTAAATTTATTAAAGATATCTTAAATATTTTTTGTTATTGTCCGAGCCATATTTGAGTCTTACCCAAGTAAACATTATAGTTTTATATTTGCTATATTTGATTGCAATATGATTTAAAAATCTCTTGGTGGTTGTCTTGCTAGACTTTGGGATTGAGTATTCTTTATGTCCATCTTGACTATTGACGTGGATCAATAACAAATTGGTCTTACTTGATTGGTGTTGGTTATATTCAAGTATTTGGAATTAAAGGCACTGTGGCTGAATAGTACTTTTTCGCCTTTCACATAAAAAGATTGATTGTTTATGTAAAAAAGTGAGTGTGTGAGTATATTTATATATGATTGTTTATGTAAAAAAATGAGTGTGTGAGTATATTTATATATATATAAATAATAAAGATAGTAAGAACAATGTATTTATGTAATGAGAATGAAAATGTCAAGATCAACTGTTAGAGTGACTAAGAGAAATAAGACAACTACAAGGACAAAAAAAATAAAGAATTACACCTATTAATGGGAAAATAAAACAGTAGACTTAGACAACTACAATGAAAAAGAAAAGAAAAGAATGACACCCATTAATGTGAAAATAAAACCGTAGACTTAGTTGAAATCGCATGTAATAAAAGGAATGGGGACAAAATTGAAAATTTTAAGATCAGAATTTTAAGTGCGGTAGTTTTTTAGTGGTAATTAAAAAACAAATATTTTTTGATATTTTTTTTTTAATTTTCAATGTTTAACATTCAGTGATAAGTGATGTCATTGTCACTTAAAATTTTAGATGCTTACTGTTTTCAGTAATATTCAAAATGTGTTATTATACATACTTAATTAGTTAAGCGCTTAATTTAGGAAAAAAAAAATTAGTTAAGTGCTTAATACAATCAGAATTAAGTACTGAATTGAATAATAAAACAGTACCAAAATTTATGTGATCATCCACTCATTTAGATCAACTTAATGCAAGAAGTACGTAATGATGACTTTAAACCTGTTTATGTAACAAAAATTTTAATTTTAAAACTAGTTATCCATTAAAAGTGGTTTTGAGTTCCAATTCTAGATATGATACATACACAATAATAATATAAAACTAGTTATATATTATTGAACAAAACAATAACACGCGAGCGCGCGCGCACGCATATATATATATATATAGGTTAAGTGTAAAAATATCTCCTAAACTATTGTCCTTTTACAAATAATTTTCTGAACTAAAAATCGTCCTCCCCTGAACTATTAATTTGTTATAATTAAGGACAAATTCATCGTAAAAGACTGTTTTACACTTTCTCATTAAAATTTTAATTTCTTATTAAATTATTTTTATTATCTTTTCTTGTATATGAATATTAATTATACTATTTACCTTAATTTTATTTTTAGTATCAATTTATCATAAAAAAAAAAAAATAGATAAATAGATTTGTAACTAACATTTTCTAAATTGATTAACTTATTGTTTATAATAAAACCTATTATAACCAATATAAACATTTTTATCATAAAAAGATATCATTTTTTTCATACAATATATTGATGAAAAATTAATAAAATACTTTTGAAAAAATACATTCTTTTCATTAATATATTCATTAAAAATTTAAAAATTAATTAATTTTTTTAAAAAAAATTATACTAATTTTTTTTATTTAAATAATTAAAAATTAATGGTAAATTCAATGAAAAATATCTCATCAAATAAGTATGAATTTTTTCATAATTTATTTAGATAAGAAAAATATATTAAATTTAATTCAATAAGAAGAATCATTATGATCATTTAATTAAATATAGTATAATTCTAGGGGTATGTTGCAATAAAATAAGATAATTTAGAAAATTTTATGCACAAAATATAATTCAAAAAGATTATTTACAAATTTAAACATAATTCAAAAGATATTTTTTTAATTTTACCCCACGTGTATATACACACACTTAATGAAACTGGGGCCCACAATCCCATTGTGCGTGTGCCAAATTCAAAGCAAGCATCAGCACTATATGACGCGATAAAAAAAACTTTAAGAAAAATAATAGTATTTAAGTTTTTTTTAGTTTGACAAATTCAACAGTTGTAACTTTCAAGTGATTGAGGGAGATCGGCTGTCACTTCTTATTTACATGAATGCAATTAGATTTGTCAGGACTCAAACTTTAAAAAGTTGTGTTATTCGTTCGTGTCAAGTTGTAACGTTGCCATTAAACACAAAACTCATGGTGGCAGTCACCAATCATCTTGGGCCCATAAGTTATTTGCGGACTTGTCGCTGCATTGCGATTGGCAAAAATTATATTTTTTCAAACTTTAAATTTATGTTTGTAATTAAAAAAAAAAAAACATATTTTATGAATTCACTGTCACTAATCGAGTGCAGCTAAAATTCAAAACTAAAGTTAAGAATAGTTTTCAAACATGGATCGACTCGGTTGATTTTAAACCTTTTTTCTCAGAGCAGAGCAAGGACCAAGAGGGGTACACTATTGCTAAGTATTTCTCATAAAAGAATATAAAAAATAAAAAATAAAAAATAAATTAGAGTTTGTTTGTAAGAGGTGGTGTGACGTGGAACTGCAGTTATATTGATACAATATCAGACAATCAACCAATCAAATTTCAAGATGATATGTAAAACATAGTATGTATTTGTAATTAAATTGCTTCGTGTAAACTTTCCAAAAAAAAAAAATTGCTTCGTGTGTATATATATATCCCCCAGCACATCCCTTCCCCACTATTACCCCCTTCTCTCTCTCTCTCTCTCTCTCTCTCTTTCTCTCTCTCGTTGTCACAAATCTGCATCCAGTTCTGGCCTGGAAGTTAGATCTCTACCTTATTTTCCTCCCAGTTTAAGTGTATTTTATTACTTTTTTACTTCTATTTGTTGGTAGTTTATATTTATTTGTTCTTACCCTTGTCTTCGTGTGTTAGGTTTTTCTGCCAATATATATATATATATATATATATATATATATATTAATCTTACCTATAGAAGGTATGGCTAATCGCCGGAATCTGACATGGGTAGATAATACACCAACTGGGTTTTATTGGTTTGGCCGGAATCTGACATGGGTACTCTCTTTCTCCTTCAGAATCTGACCGGAGAATCTAACCCCACATATCCAAAAAAACAAAAACAAACTACCAGCTGTTGTTGTTGCTTTCGATTCCATTTGTTAATTAGTTTTTCTCGTGGCCTGTTTTTGATTTGCAACACTATTGGTTTCTAATAGAAAATAGAGTTTTGTTTTGTTTCTTTTCTGTTGTTTAAAATATATTTACAGATTCTTCTTCTGTACCCTCTTCACACCATCCTTTTTTTCTTCAACCACTGGTAATAGGCCACATATCACATATGCGTATATATATTGATATGTATAGGTGTATACACAGTGGTGTATTTTCTCTATTTCAGCTGACCGATCTCCTTAAATGAAATCACTTCAATGGTCCTTTTGAAGCCCTTTCTCTCTCTAAATCATCGTTATTGTTGGTGATGGTGATGGTGATGGTGGTGGTGGTGGTTGTGGGTGGTGGTGGTGCATGGATTGATTGATTGACAGTCGTTGTTTGCAGGTGTAGCATCATCAAGATTCACATGCAAAGGCAAAGGCACCGTCTAGACGAAGCAAATCTAGCTTGACTGTGCCAAAGCTTTTGAAGATGGGAATCTTGATGATGCTGCATCAGCAATAAATGACTACCTATATATGGTATATAAACCCTATTCGATCAATTGCAGACAGAAAATGAATCAATCCACAAGTCAAAATTGTCCCAACCTTTGCAATTCAACAAGGACATAAGGTGATATTTTCTATTTGTGTCACGATTCTGCCAGGTGGGGTTTAGCTATTTTGAGGCAACATCTTTATACTGATAGCAATCTGTCAATAGATTCTATTATTTATATACGTTTTTATGTGTGTGTGTATGTGCATGTTCTCCCTCTGTGTGTATGTGTTTTTCCTTTCTAATATGCATTCTGCGGCATAAATGAACAAAGTCCTATATCAGATTAGTTCTTGGATAATGAGTATTTTCTTTCTAATATCAATCTTGTGGCATAAATGAGCAAAGACCTATATAGTTCTTGGATAATGATTATTAGACCTGATAGTCTAACCGAGGAGTTATATAGCCCAGAGTTCCTTATCTATGTGATGCATTAGATTTGGCGAAAACTTGATTTTGTTCAATGTATTCAATGGATGTATAAGAAACTATGTGCTAGACTAATCGGTTAGACTATTAGGTATGAATAGTATTGATGTTAGTTCATTGCATTCTAACTGTGAATGGCATTGAAGGAAAGCTGTGCTCTAGCTGACTCCGCAGATCTGTGATTATTCTCTTCAAGAAGGAAGCTTTGATTGATATGGTATTTCTCTATTTCCTGATGGAAATGGCCAGAGTTCAGATGTTGTCTATAGGATAATGTATATGTGTGTGTGTGTATATATATGTATATATTTGAAAGGTTTATATATACATATATATGTATGTATGGAGAGAGTGAGTCTTGATGATACTGCATGAGCAATGATTCCTATAGAAGGCAAATCTTCATATATCATTATTATCTAGCTGTGTTGAGTGATTGGTATAAAGATCTATCAATGAACTCTCACAGATTATTTTTTCTGACTCTTTTTTTTTTGCAGATAAATGGTTTTGGATATCAAACTCATTAACAGACTTAGACCGTGAATGTAGAAATTGCTAATATTGGGAAAGAAAACATCTGGGCAAAAGGGTGCAAAACAAGCAGGTGAGAGAAAATTTTGAAGCTTTTTATGTTTTTGTTTCTTTCTTGGGCTGATCAGTAATATCATACTGAAGTGAAATTTGGATTTTTTCTCTACCCATTTGTCTTCTTTAGAAGAGATTCAAGATATAATTGATTGTTTGATGAACATTCTTCCAAGTGCTTATAAGAGTAGGGGTTTGAAAAATAGGAATTGCTCAGCTGTGACCTTTGAATGCACATGTGACATTGTCACTGCCATGGGGTTCTGTTTTGCTTTTAATATTTATCACCCATTACACTTGTGGGTGGACCAACCTGAGAGAACACACCTTGCATATTTGGTCCCCTCTACAAGTACTCTCTCTCTGTAGACATATTCAGTGTACCAAAATTTCACACCTCCAATAATAGTACCCGAAAGCTTCATAAAATATCTTCAATTTTGCTCGACAGTGATAATTCATCAATATAGAGATCTGTGTGCCTATATCACTATCAAAAACTTGGCCCACAGAATCCGGGTTTCAAATTCAATGGGTCAATATATGCCCATGGTTTCAACTTTTCCTATATTAAACAAGGCAATATAAACATGTATAGTTGTGTGATTTTATGTTTGAACTAACTGATATCTCTTTTGATATACTTGATCTGGGAAAGATGTAATTGCTGCAGTTGGTACGTAGGAATGATGCTAGAATAAAGGACCGTATTTTATTTTTATTTTTATTTTTTGTAGCTCCGATAAGTAGTATAAGATAAGATTAGAGTGTCTCTCCTCTTTCAATCGGTAATAACAATTGATCAGAACTTGTATCATTTTTTTTTTTTACCTAATTAGTTCAAGATGTATTAGGAAGTGAAAAATGAATGCCTCAACCGTCTCCATTAGTCAGTACTCCAGTTCCTAAGACTAGTATAATAGGACTGAAATCGAGTGATGTTATCAATGCTAATGTATACTGAGCGTAGGCTTGCTTTGAGCACTCTAATTGTTAGTAGATCGACTTCTGATGATTCGGTAATCCATGTACCAGTTTATGTTGTTTTCACCCTGCTATCTGCCTTATAAGTTACTACACTTTAGCTGCAAGGATCTTTATTACTGCACCAATTTTAGAGCTACAACTCTTTAGCTGGTTCCTGAACCATGAGCAGTCTCTGTTGCATTTCAGTTCTTTTCCTAAAAACTAAAATCTCAAGCACAGCAGATGAGTAGATACATCAATCACAAGACACATGCATGCACAAAAGAACAAGCATGTTTTTGTTTTACATTAGAACAACTCATCTGCATGGGATACTCCATTTAGGTACAGATTTTAAAATTATATATTAAAAAGAAACTTAACCATCTTGTTTTGCCGAGCTTGATTCCATATTAGAGATTGTCCGTTTTGCACATTCTACCTCTTCCCGTTTAAAAGCACACTTTATCAGATTAGAGAAAGATGAAAAAAATACTCTCTTCTATTTATCTAAACTGATTTCTTTTACTTTTGGCAATACAAAGAACTGATATTCTTTGCATCTTCCATAGGAACTTTTATATACTACTATCTTCTACTGTGAATTGTGTAAATACTGATTTAATAACCCTTTCTTTCTTTTTCCAAAGAGAAGCTAGAATGGTACATAGCACAATATTAATCAATATATTAATTTCTTTTTCAATTTCAATATCTCTTATTGTTAGTCCTCATCGGTTTTATTTATTTATTATTATTATTATTTTTTTTTCAGGATGTACTTCCCAACATTTAACTCCAGTTGCTGATTCTATGGCTGCTGTTTAATTATTTGTCCTCCGCCTTTCTTTGGTTCTTCGTGTTCATGAGGTGCAAGCGTCGTTAAGAAATTACCTTCTCTATTTTCGAAGGACCGATCAAGGCTACATGCATTTGAAGAACATATATAGAATAATACCGATATTTAATTTGATTGTTAGCGGTAATCTTTTGTAATTCTAAGCCACCCGAAGAATGTTTGCTTTAAGGAAATACATGATTGAATGCGATTTTAATACATTGTTCTTCTTTTCTTCGAATTACTTAATGATATATAATATGAGAAATAATCCTCTTTAATTCTCCCTAGGGGTGGCAAAAGTTGACACGACCCGCCAACATAACACAAGTTAAACGGGTTTGGATTGATCTTAAAGGGGTTTGGGTCATAAATGGGTCGACACAATTAACCCGTTTAATTAATCATATCGTGTTTGGATTGAGGGGTTCAATCCGTGTAATCTGTTTATACACGTTTAACTATATATATCGTAAATAAATTTTTATTTAAGTTCTAAAATTGCTATATAAACTTATATCTTATAATTGAATATTTTGTAAACTAGAAATTATTTAGTAATTTGGTTGATTAAAACTTATATATATATTTTAATATTTATTATTTTATTGAGTATTATTAATAATTTAAATAATATAATTTTTATTTTGGTAAATAAGTCATTAAATGAGTTATACGTGTAACCCGTTTAATAAACAGGTCGGGTTAGTATTGACAGTTTCTGACTGGTCGTGTTCGAGTTGAGCTGTTTAGTATAATACCCATAAATTAACACGATATGATTACGACCCGTGAATACGAATTGCCATCCCTAGTTCTCCCACGCAGTTCTTCAGATCTTACAACTCCAACTTCAGACATCACATTTTCATGGTTTAATTTTTGTATTTGATATCCATTAAAAAAAAATAAAAAATAAAAAAATGGAACAACTTTTTCGTCTTGAGCATTTAAACACCCCAATATATAGTGAGAGAACACAAAACATGCCGGCTGTACTACTTTGCAGCCCATTTCTCTACTTCCTTGGTCATATCTTTGGAACTATACACACGCTGTATATGTATTTTTTCAATAGGTACTACAAATTTCAAACATGTGTTCAAATATATATATATATATATATATATTTACTTGTATATTAGTAAACTATATCCAAATTCTTCATAGTGCTTCACTGAAAGACCCTTCTTATTAAAGAAGTACTCCAAAGGATAGATCACAATGGTTGCTTTGTGTAATGTAAATTTTTTATTTTTTAAAAGAAAAAGAAAAAGAAAAAGAAAAAGCACTAAATTTACAACTAATCTATTGTGGCCTTGTTTGTTCCACGATACCTTACATAAATATTGATGGTTCTTAAGAGCGGTAGGTTAAATTTGAATCTCGATTGGTGCTCAGAGAGTGACGGATGATGCACAGGACAGATGGAGATCCACTCTCTTGTTGAATTTGTGGTCCAAATTAGTGCCAACAAATTGGTGTACTGTATAGCATTCATTCAAGTGGATTGGAGTCACTCATCAACAGATCTTAAGGTACAAATAAAATCAATCGACAAGGATCTAGTTAGGAAGAAAAAAAGATGCTCCTTTTTTCGGCCCCAGGACAAAGGAATTATGACAAAAGGACTTGGTTAGTAAAAAAGCAACTACTCTGGGCATCATCAATGACACCTAATATGGGCTGCTATCAGTAGATGGATCTGAAAATGGAATTGTACTAGTCCATTTTTTTTTGTGTAAGCACAACTATCTCGAGCCCTAGCCCAGCCAAAAGTCCAAGCCCGTAGGCCTGAAATGGATATAGTTTTGTATTTCCTTGTTTCAGCCCAACCATTTGCAACCCTAATCCAACCCGAAATCACACAATTATTTTTCATGATTGTTCTTTCAAAAGCGCTCCCGCTCCAACCCTCCCATACTTTCTCACAAGTTAATCACTTTGTGTAACCTAAATTTTGTCACTCCTACTTTTGAATCAGCTCTCTCTCTCTCCTGCCAACCGGCCCATTAACACAAGTAATAAGAAGTCGACAAAAACTTCAAATCAAACACCCTCTCTTCTTCAACCTCAATTTCAATAGCAAATGTCACTCCAAAAGGTCCTACAAAACCTCAAAACAGCAAAAAAATGTCGTCTTTCAACAAACTTCGAGAACCCAACAGAAAGAAGAATTGCAGAAACCATCATCTCCACAACCCTAAACACTTCAACTTCCAATCCCCTCCCAACCACCACCACCACTATGCTCACCAGTCTCACTCCCAACATGTTCCACGTAATTCTCTCTTACCCACATTTCGGAACCTCCAAGTGCCTTAATTTCTTCAATTGTCTCCTCAAAAATCAATCTTCAATCTCGTTTAAGATTGATCTTAAAGCCCACTTAGCCCTAGTTTTCAGGCTGATCGAGGCAAGGAAGTTCACAGATGCCGAAGATCTCTTGAGTTCTCTATCAATCGATGAAAATACCAGGTACCCTTTTTCTGATATAGCTTCTTCCGTTGAATATCACTGTAATGAACGCAAAATTGTTGCTAAATTATTCAATTTGATGCTCAAAGTTTATTCGGATAATAATAAGTTCGAACAGGCCTTAGAGACTTTCGATTACATGAAAAACAATGGAATTGAGATAAATGAGAGGACTTGTACTATACATTTGGTTGCCCTTGTAAGACATGATGAAGGGGAATTGGGACTAGAGTTCTTTTATCGAATGCTCGAATCGCGAATTGAAGTTTCAGTTTATTCATTGACAGCAGTTGTTGATGGGTTGTGTAAGTGTGGAAAGATCAAGAAGGCCAGGGAATTAGTGGAGGAGATGGTGGGTAGAGGAACAAAACCCAATATCATTACATGTAATGCATTGGTAGCAGCATGTGCTAAGAGATGGAATTTTGAGGAGTTAATTGTTATCTTGGCAATGATGGAAAGGGAAGGAATGAACTTTAACACTAAGACATATAATTTTTTAATTGATGGGTATTTGAGCTCTGGGAAGATTGATGAGGCCAAAAGGTTGCTCTTAGAGATGCATGATAAAGGTTTTAGGGTTGATACCTATTTCTACACTCAAATTATAAGTGGGTATTGTAGGATTGGAGATCTTGAGAGTGCATTTTCACTGTTTGGTGAAATGACTGAGAAAGGCGTTGGTAAAACCGCGAACATGCATTCAACTTTGGTCACTGGCCTCTGTAAGGTTGGAGATATGGAGGCAGCAAAGAAACTTGTAGATGAGATGCAGAACAAGGGGTTGGAGTTGGACCATGTGTTGTTTGATACTTTAATTGATGGCTATTGTAAGAAAGGGATGATAGATGAAGCTTATGTTTTGTTAGTTGTGATGGTGAAGAAAGGATTTATTGCTGATACATCTGCTTGTAACATGATAGCTAGTGAGTTATTTAAGTTGGGTCAGACTGATAAGGCAAAGTGGCTGTTGAACATTATGGTGAAAAGGGGTGTGACTCCTGACTTGTCGAGATTCACTCCTATGCTTGACACAATGAGATTTTTTTGTGGAATCGGAGGGGCTGCTTCTGGGGATGGGGAAAAGGGTGCAACTTGTAATACTGCTTCGTATTCTGATAAGATAGATAGGGAACATGAAGGGAAATAAAAAGCTTAGAGATAAGATCCAAGATGTGAACTTCATTTTTCATAGATTTGTATCACTTTGATGTGGTAATCGTGTATGTGGGAGGTGGAAAATGCATCATAACTCTGTGAAATTTTGGGAGACATTCCTGGCATTGTTTTCAGGCTAGCCAAAGGAAAGGAGGTGAGAGGAAGGACTGGATTCTTTGATTAGCCGTCATATGAACCAGTGATTTCTTTGATCTTGCGCGGACTTCCCTCTGCGGCCACTTGGTATCTTTTGAACAAGAAGAAAGTTCTCATAGTATGTTGGCTTGAGTATTCTTGGTATTGTTGTACAAGCCAAAGCTGGATAACTAGGAAATTGTACACGTGTGAAAATAAAATGGTTCATTATCAACTCATTCCTCATTAAAGAATAAAGAATAGCTCTTTACCCTCACCATTTCATCAAAAGCCAAAACTTGTAATGGCAGCTGTTTGAATGAGTAACGACTTACGTTGATGCTTGGAACTACAGTAAAAGTTACACCACAAGATTTTTGGCATCTATTTATGATTCTGAAATGCTAAGGTTATTTTTTTTGTTGTGATGATGCAACTGATAAGACTTCCATTTGATCAGATTGGTTGTCTGAAGTTTCTTCTAGTGTGTTATGATTAGGTTTGAAGCATTTCATTCCGGAGGATCTCATGGTGTTTCGACATGGAGGATCATTCAAGCTTGGCCAACAAATATTTCTTCATCTTGAATACTAATGTGGAAATATGGAATCAGATTAATCAGCTTCTTACTCCTAAACCCTAACCACCTTGAATTTAGGTGACACTAGGGACTCTAAATTTGTTATGTGCTGTGCTTAGAAAATAAGTGCAGTTCATGCTCCTCTTACTTCACATCTTGGCGTTGGGACTACCAAGAATCTCAAAAAGTCACCATTTCACTTCGTAATTGAAATAAATAAATAAACTATTCCTGTAAGAAATCTAAATTTTTAAAATGCAATTTAGTCTCAATGAGAAACTTTGGCTTCCTGGTTTGTTGTTAAAAGTAGGTTGATGGTGCAAAATTTCACTCTATGTTTTTTTTAGCTTATGTAGCTGTCTTAATTTTGATCTCTTTCGTTCGCTCGTACTCTAAGAAAGGGTAATGCAAGATGAATTTAGGGTAGTGATTCATATGCACTAAAAGTTGGGAGAGGCAAAAAAAAAAAAAAAAAGGACCCGGTTTACTTGGCCAAATACTCCAAACCCAGTGTTGGGTTTTCAGTCCTCGTTATGGTGTACCGGAATTGGGCCCGTATTACGAAACGGAATCGGGTTTTGCAATCATAAATTTTTTTCGACCTTGCAGATAAGTCAAAAATATATATATATGAGCGAATCATTTACAACACAATTATAAATGAAATTTTAGTAATTTTTATTGAACCTTTTAAGATCATTTAATAAAATTATAAGTCACATGAAAATATTATTTTTTAATCAAATTAATGAATAATTAAATATTTAAACTTTAAATAAATTAAACCCATATCATATATAATTTGTGAGAAAAGAAAAATAAAATTTAAAAAATGTATAATACAAATAAAATATATGTTTCTAAAATAAAAACACTTTAAAAGAAATTAAGAATATTATTATAGTAACAAAAGATGTATTCCTTCTACCAACCAGTCGATTCTAGGGAGAGGAAAGATGTCTTTGGGGCACGTCATATTTAAATCAGATTTCAGACACGGTGACCTCTATATATATGCTTCACTTCCATCGAGTTTAACAATGTATATATATTTCTTCTCACCCATCCACTCCAGCACTTATCCTCATCCCGTTTTAAGAATGTATATCTACTTTTATATCTAGTTTTCCTCACTTACTAACACTTATTGCGTGGTCACTCTATTGATATAAGAGGTTGCCACTATTTATAAGTATCCTCCTAACGGATGGCCTACGGTTGACTGTTAGGATTTGGAATAATCCTCAAATATTTAGTCATTTTTAACTTCTCTAGTATTTTTTTATTTCATACAACTACATCTTTTTAAAATTTTACAATTCTGGAACACTCTAGAGCCTAAAATTCTCTTAACTTGCTAAGCAGAGTCCTCCTCGGCACTCATGTGCTAGTCTAAAATTCTCTACGTCCTCTTCAGTCGTCTACATGACACATCTTCCTTTGTTAGCTAGTCTAAAATTCTCTACGTCCTCTTCAGTCGTCTACATGACGCAACCTCCTTTGATAAAGTGTGACATTCTTCCCCGCCCATGCCCATGATGCCTTCGTGATGACTTCAACTGCTGGTCTGCTCATGGTCTCCGGTGCATGAGCACGTGCATTCACGCACCATGCAGGAGATGAGAAGTCCTCAAGTGCTAAAAAGTGTTCACTCAAATTCTGGACTCTCCTTTCTGCCTACAGTTTGTGGCCTTCTTCGCCTCCCAGTATTATCATAGCCCTAAGGCATGGTATTGACACGGTGTTGTTCTGCTCCATGAAATCCAACACCATAACACAAGTCCCCATTACAACCTCCTCATTATGCTTAAAATTCAAGAAATTACTTCATACTCCAGTTTTAGCTTTCCTGGGGCTTTAGGCCATTCCCCGCTAGTAAATAATATGCAACTTATTGTTTTCAAATATTTTATAGACAAAATAAAGTGGGTTTTCAAATGGAGTGGGGATGGATATCTTCATTATACTAAATTAAATATACATATGTATATAAATGCATTATTAGCAAGAAAACCCGAAATGGAACACAAAGTAGTCCGGATACTGAAACTCAGCACCAAAATGCAACTAATAAAATTGAATGCAAACTTAAGTGTACGGTGTACCAGTCATACCGCAAAACAAAAATATCTGACCAAGAATAGATGAAAGTCCTAGTTTGGTAGTGTGATTAATTTTTCAATTTGTTTTGAACCACCACGTAATTTTACGCAATAAAAAATAAACAGTGCATTTTACTAGTTTTGCATTTCCCAACTATTGCCAACCACTACATAAAATGGGCCAGTGTTCTAAGTTTCCATATACAACCCAACTGTTCACAAGTATCACCTATGTGTCATGCCGAGAGGCTATATATCAAGAAGGCTTGCCCAGAAAACATGCGTAGCGAAGGAAACTACTACAATTGGTTCATCTATACATGCACATTTTCTTCAGCAAGTAATCTACCAAATCTCGAACCTGTCCAAAGGGTTGAATTACAAGTATACTCCAAACCCAAACATGCTTGTAAAGATTGGTATGTATACTTGCACATTTTCTATAAAGAAGAGAGAAAAAGAAAGAACTAGACAAAATTGTGGCCAGACGAAGTGAGACCATCAATCATTGACCCATGCTTTCCAATTGCTGGAATGCTGTTAGAACGTTTTCTGATTCTAATGTTGCAGGAGAATGGAGATTTCATTTCATTCTTCTCCTTGGGTAAAGACGAGTAAGGAAATGGTGGCTCTGATTGCGATTTATTTCTAGTTCTCAGGAAGTTGTCAAGATTTTTTCTGTACTTGTCACCGTCGGTAGTAGGTAATTCAGGGGTGGGTTGGTCCTCAGAGATAGGAACTACCTTGTCCTTTAACTTCTCGTCGTTGTCTAACTGGTAGCCATTCTCTTGCTCATCTTGCATTGCCAGATCATCATACTCCTCGTCTGATTTTGTGGACTCCTCATCCACTGAACCCTCCATCTGTAAAATAGAAAGAACATGACATTAGAAACATATAATTTTTAAAAAAACAAAAATTACTTCTATTTTTCCCTCCTTTTGTTGACCTTAGGCAGGATTCTAAACTAGTTAAGTTCAACAAAATCACAGTTACCGAGGTAGATGGCACCAACCAGCAGTGATCATCACCTCTCATCCAGGTTATCATCGAGTTTAACCCATCATGTGCAAAAACTAATATTCAATCTCATATTGTATACTTATGATGTATACTCATGATACTCTTAGTCTAACTACAGGATAGGAGGTCTCCCCACAGTGAATTTATTCGACCAAAAAACCTCGGCGAGAAGAAACTAAATGGTTAACATATGAGAACCTGGATGTTCTCTTCATGATGTTTCTCCCCAAATTACAGTGTTCATTAATACCTCTTCATGAATCTGTTCCCGAAAATCATCGCTGAGATCCTCATCGCTGTCCACCTCAGGTGGATCATCAACCTCCTCATCACTTCCATGCACCGAATTTTCCTCCTTGAGCTGAAAGCACAAGGGAAGATAAAGGACCCGAAAATATTAGTAAACTACCAAAAAAAATTATTGAGCATAACAATAAAAATCACTTAGTTAATAATGGAGAAGTTTGCTGCTTATTTCAACATCAATTGAACCATGACCGACATTGTTGTATCTATTTAGTTTATTCCAATTCACTCACTACTACTTCCCTGACAAAAAAACATTTGATTAAAGCAGATGCTTGAGAAATGATCATTTTCTTTATTCATAAATACCTCCTTGGCGGGTCCATCAGGCATCCGTGGTGAGCTGCAACAGGAAGAGTGTTGTCTACTACCACAGTCGGTTCCTTCACCTCTTGACTCGTCAACACTGCTTGCGCGACTTGTGCCACCAGTGTCACTGGGCCAAGCGCTGATCCCGAAGTGACCAAACTGAAGATTGACAGGTTCAGCCTTATCAATTTGCAACGGTCCATACATTGGCGATCCTATGCCATTCTCCATAAAATGGCCTACGATTGGCTTACCATTACCATCTAATGGACCAACAGGCCAAGCCTTTGCCACAGAGCCATCAGTATTCAGAAGAGCCATAAGATGCCTAGAGGAACCTTGCCTTTGGATCAGTTGGAACATTCCCTTGGAGCTCAATGAATTGGCAGCACACTGATTCCTGTACTCCTCATCAATCACAGCAACCCTGTTTGTGGTGGGATCGTAAAGTTGCTCCCCAGCCTCACGCCTTCTTAGGCAGCTGAAAACCGTCGCATGGATGGCTGCTACACTCTTGTCAACATTGGTATTATTTATTTTTGGGACCAGATGCTTGTCAGCTCGGTTGCAGAGGTATTCCTGGATTGTTCTGATGTTTCGAATGTATTTTACATACTTGTTTTTAGCAGGATCCAGTGTCATGTACTTCGCACGGACCGCAAAACGTTCCAAGTGTTTGTCCTCATTTGGGATGTATATCATGAATGGTATAATTGATGGGTGTTTCTTCATAAGTCCCATCTGCATGTCAAAAAAAAAAAAGTTTGTGATTAAAACTGACCATTAACAGAAAGAATAATTTTTACTCGGAAGAAGCTTAGTGTGCATATGGATTTTTTTACCACAAAATTAAGGCTCAAGTGAACACCCTCAACGACAACTGATTCTTTCCGCTCTTCCCATGCAGTAATCAGCCGGTCAAGACTGTCAATTACCATCTCACTTTGAGCCTTAAATCCCTCGACAGCCATCTGTTTTGGACTAATCAAGTTAGCAGTACTAGAAGCCTCATCTGGTGGTTGGGTATCAGATTTTCCAGTTGTTGAACCATCAACCATATCATCCTTGGATGGTGGGTGTGAAAAGCCAGCCAATTTTTTTTCTTTCCTCTTGGCCTTCGCTTCTGCAACAGCCTCTGGATCTAAATATTCCCCAGCATGGTATGTTGAAGCCCAAAGCAAGGGGTTTTGCTTTTCATCTACAAAGCTTCTCATCATATGTCGAATTGAGTCGGTAGAGATGATAGTTGTGATCCCCAACCTGCTACCCTGCAAAAATGATTTTGGAAGGGCTCAAATCCTTGCATGTGAATTTACTAACAGAAGAAACATACTTGAAATGTACATAATAAACTGGAAAATTTTGACCATGTCCACATAAAATTTGAAATTTTCGTTGTTTTCATTAAGGCACAATGCATACAAGTAGTTTTGGATTCACAAAATATAATTTCCAGAAAGCAAACAGAAAAAGCAAAGCAATATTAGAAAAGAGAATTAGTGTTTTTAGAAACTAAATGGATATACCAGCAGCGCGGACAAAGTAGATTTGCCACAGCCACTAGTGCCACACAATAGCACAGTCACAGATTCCTTCCTTTCTCGGATTCTGAAACAAGAAAATAGTTCTCAGGCCTAAAAAAAAAAATTTGAATTATACAGAGTAACTGCAGGAAAGGTAAAGGTCATACGTTAATAAGTAAATTGAAATAATAATAATAATAATAAAGCAAACAAATACATTTTAACTACTTAGCAACATAATTAATGTCGTCAATCATATTCTTATGGGATAACATGAGAAATGGCTTGCCATCGAAAAAGAATGGAGAAAGAGAATTTGTATAGTCGCCCTCATTCATACAGACTAAAGGAACTTCATTCATATGGGATAAAAGCAAGTATGATGTTGACGACGAAGATGGACTAGTTACGTCATAAGTTCAGTGCAATGGAGCTGTAAATGGATCAATTAAAATAGTGGTTACCTTAAAATAATGACTTTGAACACTATCTAATGATCCACAGTTCAGTCTTACCCTCTTAAGAGAATGAACTCAGTTCAGATACATTTTTCTTCAGTGATAAAAGAACAAGGAACCCCCTAAGGTGGAGCCCTTGATCCGAGGTATTATTCAGCACTACATACTTACATCTGCTATAGCAAAAGCAGAAGGAACTGCATTTACTATATTTGCATTCCGTTGACACATTCATCAGCATGTATTGAAGCACCTAGTTTATATGAGACACTAAATTTTTTTTTTGGATATAGGTTCAACCTAATGTCAGCTTCAATAAGTAGTCCATAGGTACACAAAAAAAAAACAACAAACTCATTAGAGAGAACAATTTTTCTATAAATTATAAAACACTAGGATAGATTTCACAAACTTCACACAATCTGCAACACAGCTTAAATATGTACCTTCCACACATTTTCATTTTTAATACTCTAACATGCCTAATTACATTTAAAGCAACCATACAAAGCAAAAGGCAATGAGAAAATAATGACTACATACTAAATTGAAGAAGAAATAATTAGCAAAAGAGAATTCCATCTATGGAAAGCTGCTCATCATTGTGTCAACTCTCAACAATTTACTAATGATTTTATATTAAAATGATTTTGAAAGAGTGGAAGCTGTTATGGTTTACCTGCAAGATAAGACCAAGTCCGCCCCCTGGTTGCGACCCACATACTTGTATTCCGCAAGAGCATCACAAACAACATTTAAAAAAGTCTTTCTTCTAACAACTACAGTTGTGCGTCTTTTATACAATTCAAATGGTTTACTCACAGTTCGACCATCTTTATCTTGAACCATGTGGTAGCTGCCATCTACTTTGCCCAAGCAATCACCAGTATGACAATTGTTTTTTTTCAGAGAATGTTCTTTTGAACCATTTAGTCCTGATATCTCCATTCCCTCTAAGGCCGGAGCATCCACGGAGCATTCACTTCTCATCAACTCAAAGACCCTTTGGCTGATCTGAGTGCATGTTCCAGGCATATTCAGTTAAGCTTAGAAACAGACATTTTAAAGGCAAAATAAATGCTTACAATGTACTAAAGAATAAGGAAAATGTAAGCAAGAATATCAACCATCTTCTTTTAGTTTGTTACTAACAAACAATCACTTGCCATGCAACAGAAGGCATGAACTCTGCTACTCAATTTAATATCTTGCATGACAAATCATTATTAGAATTGTCGAGTTTCAAATCAGGGCCATGTTTTTTGCAAGAAAAAGTAAGAAACAGTTCTCCAAAATAAAAAATACAATGGGTTCAATTTCATCTGTTTAAACGATGCTTATTTAGAAGCAGAATTTTAACAGCCCGTTCTGCTAGGAAAACATAGCGATTATGTAGATACAAAGGAAAATCTAAAAGAAACATTCAGGGAAAATGCAGAGCATGTCAATCGAACACCCAGACCTACTACTGATTTTACATAATTATTATCTATAATAGCAAGCTGAAAAAATAATATTAAATAAATAAAAGATGCAATATGGTTGATTCAATTTCAAAGCTCCACGGGCCAAAATAGACGGGTCAATTTTTTTTTTTTTAAAAAGAAGGCTACAAATAAAAAGACAATCCATTGCTTTTGTGTCAAATCACATGATGGAAGTCAATGGTTGCATCAATTGATGACCAATAAACACCACCAGTAATTAAAAAAGTTAATAAACCAGGATCGAGGAATCTACAAACTCCAAAATAATCAAAAGTTGCAAAAAATAAAAAATAAAATAAAATAATATAATAGCATGAACTGAATTCTTTAAAGCGGAAGACATGTCGGACCATGAAACAAACCCACTTTAATTTCCGGCTAAAATTACTAAAATTTCAAGTTCGCAGAAAACAAAAATTAAGAACAATTATATAGATGCAGAGACAGATACTGAAGGTCAGTGGAGTTAAATTCAATAAAATAGTACCTTAAACGCATGACGCGCTTTGCATCCCATTAGTTGCAGAGTGCTCTGCAAAACAGGGCGCGTATACCGAAATGACTCTTTCCCATTCTCTCTCTTCTCTCCATCGTCCACAACACCTATATACAACAGCTTACTCACCTCCGCCATTTCTAAACTGCACATTCATCAACTTCAAGTCAATTCATCAAAAACCACTATAAAGAAAAGACAAAAAACAAAAAAAAAGGTACAAATCACATGCAGAACAGAAGAAGAAAAACAGAAAACAGAGCAAAATGTGAAAAATTAAAAGATCAACGCCCATAATGACAAACCTAATTCACGCACGGTCTTTTAAAAGAATTCAAAGAAAAATTCAAAGCAGCGCCAGAATAGTCAGAAGTTGAAGAGATTGAGAGGAGAGAAGAGAGCAATGTAGGTTTGAGAATGGAATGAGATCGAGAAGAGACTGACTAACCTGAAGATCGAAAATGGTGAGAGCTGAGACGGTTAGGAGCACATTTGAAGAGCTCCATGGAAGCAACACGATCTCGCCATGTTCTGTCACCTCCTAACACGCATCACAACGACCAGGGCTCCACGAGTCGCTCTCTCAGAAAACACACACTTTCTCTCTCTATATCGACTCTTTCTCTCTCTAGCTTTCTCAACAAAAAAACGGTTTGACCGATTTCGCCTTCGATTTGGACGCGATTTTCAAGGTCATACGAAACCCTAGTGACCCGTTATTTATAGGTGAGGGAAGAGTGGGCATCGAACGGGAAGTAAGGGGGTGGCAGGATTGTAATTTTGATGGTCAGGAAGGGGGGAAAGTTTCTTCGAGTACCGCCAAGCGTGAACGACTACATTTTCCTTCGTAATTAAAGAGAAGGGAAAGAGGATGATGTAAAAGGAAATGAAACTGAAAGAAAGGAAAGCAAAATTTCTGGTTTTTTACTGGGATTGGGTTGAGCAGGAGGGAGGGAAAAAGAAGTGGGCCAAAGAAAAATTGGGTAATTTGTTTTGTCATCATATCTTTTCTTAGGGTTTTTGATAAATCCTACTGTAGCATGTAATATAGATATTCTATAAATAGATTTCTATTCCTTTTCCCAATTTTCATTTTTCAATTTGAAAAAAAAAAAAAAAAAAAAAAAAACACTCACCAAGGAAATACTGATTTTACCACTTCGACGTTTAAAATAGAAAATTGAGGGTTAAATTTTCTTGTAGATAATTCAGTTGGATTAAATAAAAGTTACGTCTGAAAATACTGAATTGATATTTTAAAATTAAAATAAAAAAAAATTAATTATTATTATTTTTAAACGTAATGAAAACGCAGTTTACTGCAAAATGTCTGAAAAATTACTGGGCGAGTGAAGTTGGGGTTGGAGAATACAACTACGCGGAAGGAGAGTTAACGCGGTCCGTTCAAATGCAATCGTCAATGGCACACGATTTAAGATTCTGACTGACATGCGATTCCAAACTTTGGACGGTTCTAATCAAACGTTATTTATACGTAGTTTAATTTATATTTTCCTTCTCACCGAAGCAAAGCAAACCAAGTCAAGTCCAGCTTAAATAACCACTTCTTTTCCTTTGTTTTTCTTACTTCCCACCCATGAACCAACTTCGACTTTTCTCTTAAAACCAGTAAAGTTAAAAATAAAATAAATATATACGCACTATAGTTATTTATATATGCGTGTTAGACACCTAAATTTCATACCTTATTAATATTTTATTTACATATAATTAAAAGGATAATACTTGGATTCTTTTTTGGAGTATAAAGTTTATCTTCTAAATTGATGTGGTCTAATATAATTTAGACACATGGTTAAAATTTTAAATTATTTAAAAATAACCATTATCCATTTTTTTATTGGTTAAACCGAATTCCAAAGTTATTTGTTTTTTTTTTTTTTTCCCCTTTCCAAAATACTACGTTGTTTCTCTACCCAAATTGAAAAAATACTAAATTTATTTAAAGAATGTACAATATCTAGTGTTGAATAGGGAAGTAATATGAGATTAAACTAATATGAAATTTTGATACTAACCTATATTTGAATAGAGTTTTTCTCGTATAATATTTATTTCTTAGTTAAAGTTAGTTTTTTTGGTAAATCTATTTTTGGTCAAAGTTAGATCTATCTCTTAGATTCCTCCCAAGTTCCCAACACCTTCAATTGACAGGGGTAAGGGTTGGGTGGTTTAAGGGATTCTAAAAATTTTAAATAAATAAATAAAAATTGGATTTAACTAGTAAGAAGTTGGATAATAATCATTATTAATTTTTTTTAAAAATATTTGGACATTTGTTTAAATTGTACTAGATAACATCAGCTATGAGGATAAAGTTCATCCTCCAATAAAAGGACCCAAGTATTGTCCTAATTAAAATTTTGGGATTTATTTTTAATTTTTCACAGAACTTATTCTATCGGCTTAACTAAAAATGATCACATTCGAAGTATGCTTGGATTAGCATAATTAGAGACCTTTAAGTGGTTAATTAGAAAAGGTAATACTGAATATATATATTTAAAATTCCAAGGGTACATTTGATTAGATAGAAATTTATAATATAAAGTGGAAGTGAAAAGAAAGTGATGTAAAGAAAAATAAAATCAAGTTTCTGACACGCGTTTTGTTAGAACGAAAATTTTACAAGAAAAGAGTAGGAAATATATATATATATATTTTTTCATAATTAGGAAAATATTATTTGATTAGTTTGGAAAGTATGAAATAGAAAAGAAAATGATTATACTTACCAAAATTACCTTTGTGATTTCAAATACTAAAAATAAAATAATTTTGTATCACTTCCCTTACCCATTTATTTATATCCATTTTTAAAAACAAAATTAATAATGATAAAATATTAATAATTATTTATAATAATTTTTAAATTATTTATATTTTAGTGGTTAATTTTAGAGACTGACTTCAAAATACATAAATAAAAAATAATAGGAACACAAATATTTAAAAAGTTAGTAACAAATTTCTCTCCATAATTGACGTTTAAAGTTACTATCATATACAAATCTATTAGAAGTCTATAAATATACAAATCACATATTGATAAGGGGTATAATAGAAAGTCAGAGTCGCATTTTTCACTAGAAACTAAAATTTTCTTGTGTTTTATACAAGAAACACTTTGAGGAAAATCAACAACTTGCGAAAAAGTAAATTTCCTCAAAATTTTCACTTTCCTTCCAACCAAACTCTTAAAAAATTTAAAAAATTTCCTTTCATGCTACTTACATTGAACCAAACATATCCCAAAGGAATTTGATTCCAAACAAAGCTTCGTTCCATTAGTCTCAAATTAATGATACATTTGATTGCTACTTTTAACCAACTACACAACCAACTTAATGTGGTAATTAATAATTACTATACATATTTTAAAAAGTATATCCATTCATTTAGAAAGGTGAAAAAAATCCTTATTAGATTCTAACCATTCTATCTATTTGGTTAACTAAAAGACTGGTCAGTTTTTATAACATTACTCTGTGAACCAGTAAGGATCAGATTTGCATGAACAGGACTATTAGTTTCAATTTCAATTTTTGATGAGCATGATTCCTCATTCTTTGTAATTCATTTTGTCGAACAGATTAGGAAGCCAATACTTTTTCTCACACTAATGGGGTCTTATTACATCCATCAGCTTCGAGAAACATACCTAGGATGGTAGGATGTGGAAGAAAAATTAGACATGACAATGTCCATCCTTTTTAATTTAGGTGACCCCACCTTAGATTTGTACATCCATTATTGCATTTATTTTTCCACTAATATCATAAACCTCTTATTACTTATAAATTTCCATCATAAACTTTCAATCTATTCCATAAAATTCTCAATACTTTAAAAAGTGATCAGAATGCCTTAATATATGTGTCTTGCCCGTTAACCGAGCTATAAAATGACAAATTTGATCTTACTATTTAATGTTAAAGTTAAAATTAAAATTTTAATAAAATTATAAAAATACCCTTTAAACATCTCTGGGTCTCTCACCACTCATCAATTTCACTCCATCTTCACACTCTCTCTCTCTCTACAACCCAACCCATCATACATCAAAAACACACAGCACACACCTCTTGGATCATTTCCACTCAAAAATATAATCAAGATTTGGTGTATTTCAATGGCCGTAACAGCACAGATTTGGAGAATTTGCAACGATGTACACATATAGTATTTGTATATATTCACTTGGACTTTTGTTTGTCTACATGTAGATTAGGGTTAGAGTTTTTAATTGAACATTTGGGTCTGAATTCAGCTGTCTATTTTCGGGCCGGTCCTCTTGTTCGGCGACGGTAGTGGTGAGGGGGAAGGAGACATATTCAAGGGTAGTTTTGTAATTTCTAAAATAATATATATTAACTTTTAAATTAATAGTAAATTATAAGGTCAAATTTGTCATTTTATAATCGATTGACCGGTCGAATATGAATACTAAGGCATTGTGATCACTATTTAAAATGAATGAAATTTTCTAAAATAGATTGAGATTTATGATCAAAATTTAATGGTAGTGAATTTTTTTAAAATTAGCCCTTTATTCTTTCTATTTAGGATAATTTTATTGTCTATTAAAGAAACCCATTCTGATTGGTTCTCAAACTCCTTTATTCTATCCTATACAAACGAACCTCTTCAATTACATTTGATGTGACATTCTATGCGTTTGTCTTTTCGAGGTACATTAGTATAAGCTACGTGGAAAAATAAAAGAAAATGATACTCCCTCCGTATCTTTTATTAATAATTTATTTTTATTTTTTTACATATTATAAATTAATTGTCCTTTTTGAAAAATCAAATCATCTTTTTTTTTATACTTTCATCACTGTCCTTTATCTTTTTAAAAATTTTCAAACTTTGTAACTAAAAAGGACAATTTGCTAATTTTAAAAATAGACAATGCATTAGTTACATGTCTTCCTTAAAAAGTTATAAAATAAAAAATAGACAACTAATAAGGGAAGGAGGTAATAGTGTGAATTATTTATTGTATTTTATTGCTTAAAGAATATATATATATATACACACACACTATGTTTGGAGAAAAAAGTTAAATGAAACTATGCTAATAAATTAACAATCATATTATTTTTCATAAATTTTGTTGTTTATAAGAATATTATAAAAATAAGGACAAATTTGATATTAGTAAAGTTTCATTAAAATTACTACAATTTGCTTCTTTTTTTTTATTTTGAATTTTAAGAGGATAACAAAATCTAATATTCATATCTTATAGCATTCTTCAAAATCTTTATTTTCCTTCCAAGATTTCTACCAAACACAATTTTTAGCTCCCTCTGCTACCATTCTTTTCTTTTCTTTCCATTTTCATTGTACCAAATTAGCCATTTATTACCTTATAGTACTAACGTAAGGTTAAAGGGAACTTTTTACCTACTAAGAATTAAGAAATCTAATGCACTAAAACAATTAACTGTGACCTTCTTGTAAATTTTTTTTTTTATGTAAATAGTGTATTTATGAAAGCAACTATAACCACAAAATATTGTATTTGTGGCCTTTAATTTAATTGAATTTTTTTTTTTTTTTTTTCATATTTTAGATTGAAATATAAGGAACAATATTGAACGATAGTAGTTTGCAGAAAATAAAATCGAACAAAATGATAATGATTGGTGTGGTGTGTGTACTTTACAGGCAATT